TTGTACCTAAATTTTCAAGATCTGTTCACTTATCTGTACCCAAGATCTTGACCAAGATCTTACTTACAAGATGTTCGACTAAGGCTCAGGTTCAGAAATGACTTGATTTCTTAGTGAAAAAGAAATCTAAAGTTATGTTTTTAATGGTAAATTTTCAGATTGTGCTTTTTCCATATCAATCATTTGTGCCCAGAATTTCTCAATAGGAATGTTAGGCATATATCTGTCGCCCGCAAATGATATAGTGTGAAAATGTCAAGAGAAAATAAAATTTCTCAATAATTGATCCAAATATTTCATTAACGATCGAAAGAAAATTGTTTTCAGCATCAGAATTTTAATCACAAGCATACCCAGAGATAGTTTTTATCACGTTTCGAGAATGAAAAATTTCCATTTATTCATATTTTTTATGCAGGCATATACTGATGAAAAAGACTGACAAATTCATTGAGCAATGATGAAACGACATGGTATCAAAATTCAGAAATTATAAATTTATTTTTGTTCATTCGTCTTTCAATTGAAAAAGCAGTCAAAAAGTGAAATTCTGCGACACTGACCTCTTTTTTATTAATTTTTTTCTTCTTTTCTACACTGCTGCTTGGTTCTATACCAAAAATCCGTCGATTGTGTTCTTCGTAAGACGTGAATAGACAATTGAGCTCAGCTCTCTACAAATTGAAAAAAAAATAGGCGAATTTTATAGAAGAATATTGTTCAAGATCTGATACATTTTCCTCTGAAATATTCTGGCGTTTATTTAACTCGTCGACTAAAGTGAGGGTCTTTTTCCAAGCCTTTATTGCTTCAATTAAAAGACCTTTGTTTAAATATTGTACAGATTGATTGGCAGTATTGGATACTCCACGATATAGTTGAATGTAGGACCAATTTTCGATTTTCGAAAAATAACTTTGTTTGTTTATTGTCGTAACTGTATGTCTTGATGTGTTCGTAGATGAACAATCTAATTATAAAAAAATCAATCAATCAGAGAATAAATACTGGTTTAGATCGGCATTCAAGAATGGAGGGGTGGGTGTGGGTGGGTAGGGCTGTGGGTGTTGATTATCTCTTCATCCACCCTCTACACCCATACCCACAGTCGCACCACACCCATACCCATATCCACACATCACCCTATCCAGCGCTGTGATGTCGCGCTGCCACCACGACACCAGTGCGGTGCGGCAACGACTCAATTTTTCAAAAGCTTCTTGTTTTGTTTCTTTTGAAATTAACAGTGTGTAAGGCATTATTTACTTTGATATTTTTGAGTAATCGATGTCTAGAAACTGATTTACCATTATCGATAGTTAAGAAAAGTCTATTTCAATATCGGTCACGCGATTTTAAGTCATAGAAATGGTCTTTATTGAAACTTCTTGCTCAGAAACTGTTTTCAATTCCTGCTATTTCATGAGGAACGGAAAAGGCTTTTCAATTACAGTGACAGTATGTTAAATAATAGAAAGCAAAAAGGATCACCATGCCAGATAGATAATATGTTTGCCATCAAAAGTGCAAGTCAACTGCTAAAAAATATAAACCATGTTGACTCATCAAATCCATGATTAGTTTGTTTTTGTAAAAGAACTCTTTTTCGTAATGAACTTATGCCAATTTTCTTTTTCATAAAAGAACTGCTGATTGCATCTATTTCATAAGTAACACGCAGAGCTAATTTTGGAATTATTCACATACAAGCGATGTACTGTAGCATCTTACAGTTAAATAGAGTTTTCTACATTATTTATCTCCTTTTTAACTATAAGATCTCTCACTATTTTGTAGCCTCTCAATGTTGACTTCTTTCTACAGCCGTATCAATGAAAATTAAAACTTAACTTTCGATTATTTTTAAAATTTTGTATCTGTTGTTATCGGGCGTCAGTGTTGATGTGGATGTAGATCTTTGGTTTATATCCATCCACACCCAACATCTATCCGATTCAGTTTGTATTAAAGTTTCTGAAATAGTATATCGTTCTTTAGCTACGAAGAATAGTATTCGAAGCTACTGTAGATAAGAACATAAAATTGACTCAATTATTTTTCTTAGTTTTCAGACACAAGTATCACATCGATCTTCAATGCATACATTTATATTTCCTATCAAAAATACTTTGAAAAGAAGAATCAGTCTATTTTTCTTAAAGTGATGTTATGAACAAATCAAATTTGCATTATCAAGAGTTCATTATTTAAGTGACAATGTATACAATATGGCACTGATACGGCCAATGCTCGTGGATTATATTAATCATAATTGAGACTATTAGACGATACTACCAACATCAATAAAAATCACTTCATTCACACTGAGATATCTTTTTCATTCTTTCCGATTTGATTTCCTTTTTTAGATTTATTTCCGGTCTACTTGTGCCACTATAATCTAGACGTCCGGTGCTTGTCCGAGTGAATATTACCTGGTACAAAGAAACTCTCTTCATGAGAGAGACGCAAAAAGATTCGACAAGACCCTCTATACAAGTATGCATGTATGTGTATTGCCTTATCAAATGGCTTTGTCCAGTGTGTTTCTATTATTTACGGCGAGTTTCTCTATGCGCACGAGCGACTAAAAATCCAGACCGATGTGCAGTAAGTGAAAACATTCTTTTATTCTTTAAACAAGGTATACAATATATATTTCACAATGTCGATGTTCTCTTGTACAGTTTTAATATTCAAATGATTCGCAGGTAGCGAACTTCGGAAAATGTTCAAAGCGCGTTCATAGAATGATAGTGCTTTTGAGTAGTCTCCTGTGCTCTGATACAGCCCAGCGATGTTGTTGTAGGATTCACCGAAATCAGGATGATTTGCAGGAAGAGTTCTTTGTCGAATTTCAAGTGCTCTTTCGTAAGATGAAAGTGCTTTTGAATACTCTCTCATGATATTATACACCAAACCAACATTATTGTAGGAACGGGCCAAATCGGGATGATCTGAAGGGAGAGATTTTTGTTGAATTTCCAGCGTTTTTTCATAAAACTAAAGTGCTTTGGAGCACTGACCCATTTTGTAATATAATGCAGCAATGTTGTTATAGACAGTAGCCAACGAAGGGTGATTTGAAGAAAGTGTTTTCTGTAGAATTGCGAGTGCTTTTTCATAAAACGAAAGTGCTTTGGAGTACTCTCCCATGCTGTGATACAGTCCAGCAATGTTGTTGTAGGATTCAGCAAACTTAGGATGATTTGGAGAAAGATATTTTTGTCGAATTTCAAGTGCTTTTTCGTGAGATGAAAGTGCTTTTGAATACTCTCCCATGCTATCATATATCAAACCGATGTTGTTGTAAGTAGTAGCCAAATCAGGATGATTTGAATGAAGTGGTTTTTGTTGAATTTCAAGTGATTTTTCGTACAATGATAGAGCTTTGGAGTATTCTCCCCTGTTGTAATACAATCCAGCGATGCTGTTGTAGGATTGCGCCAAATTCGGATGATTTGAAGGAAGAGTTTTTTGTCCAATATCAAGTGCTTTTTCGTAAAATGAGAGTGCTTTCGAGTACTCTGCCATGTTGTAATATAGCGTAGCGATGTTATTGTAAGAAGTAGCTAACAAGGGATGATTTGGAGGAAGAGTTTTCTGTAGAATTCCAAGTGGCTTTTCATAAAACGAAAGTGCTTTGGAGTACTCTCCCATGCTGTAATGTACCAAAGCAATGTTGCTGTAGATTCGAGCGAAATCAGGATGATCTGAAGGAAGAATTTTTTCGAAGCTATTAAGTGCTTTTTTGTAAAACAAAAGTGCTTTCGGGTACTCTCCCATGTTCTTATAAACCAAACCGATGTTGTTATAGGAAGTAGCTAAACTGGGATGATGTGGAGGACTGGTTTTTTCGTAGATTTCAAGTGCTTTTTCATACCAACAAATAGCCTTATCGTAATCACCTTGATTATTTTTGATGATTCCCAGATTATGATAATAACGTGCGTCTTCAATCTCGTAAGATGACTGATCGAGTAGTATTTTGCATAATTCTTCAGCCTTATCAAATTGGCCTACTTTCACTAATAGTGCGCTCAGGCTGTCCCATCCTGTCACACCTACAGTTTCTTCTCGTATTCGATTGGTAAGAGTGCGAAGTTGTTCATCATCATCGGAAGTCAGGGTTAGCTGTACTTGGTAAAGTGGACTATTATCGTCAATTCTGTTAATTTCGCCGACACGAAAGACGGTGTGCATTGAAAAAAGAATTTCTTCTTCCGTCTTAAAGCAACTAACTTTGTCGATAGAAGCAAATGGAGTCGAGCAGATAGAAAGATCAACGGACATTTTAAATAAAATTCCGACTGTATCGATATTTGTCAAGGCACATTCAGCAAAGCCGAGAGAAACTTCTCGACTTTTACTGGTAGACAAGAAGTTGTTAAAAGACATAAGTCCACCTTTTGTTTTGAGGAGTTTTTCAAAGTTCGTTCTCGATAAACCTTGCCCTCTATAGACAACAAGGGGTTGTTCATAATCGCTAGCGACCTGTTCTTGATATAATTGTACAATTTGATGGTGTAAATCAGAAATGAAAAAGCCCAGATTAATAATAGTGTCGGCTTCTAGTGTACGAAGAGCGTAGTTGAGCATAGAATAGATGAAAGACGGGAAAGTATATCACCAGATAGCTAATTGAGAATAGTATTCATTTTCGAACCTATTAATAGTCGCTGGCGCTCCATAATCACCGTTACGACAGTAAGCGGTGAACTTTTTGACGGATTGTTCATCATATTTTAGATCCAATAAGATTTCTTTGAATATTTGAGTGTACATAAATGAAGGCTCCAGTTGATTCAGATTTTGATTAGAAGCAACTTCTTCAATGGTGAAAAAGCTGAGCGGAATACAATCTTGATCACATTGTTTTGAAACCAGTTGAAGAGCTTCACATATGGGTGTAATCTCTGTATGTACACCTTTTATCTTCGCCCATTCTTTGGTCCATTTTTCATTCTGGTGTTTATTATCATTGAAGATGTAAACGGCATCAAGCTGAGGAACATCATGAATGAGAGGTACTATTTGTTGACCAATAGTACTGGCTACAATCAGGAAAGCCTTCACGCCATCGACTTCTGTGAGAAAGTCGACACATTCATCTGGTTGACTAAAAATGGTGACATCGTTGACGACACTACGTAGTTGTATCAATGTATTTTGACAATTATCTTTTGATTGGTCGATATCGACATCCATCCAAATTAGAAGAAAATTTTGGATGATGCGTTTTTTAGGATGAATGGCATCAGACGAAGCTCTTGTAGTTGTAACGGCGATCTTTGATGATGTGGAAATGTTCTGGCTTGATTGTTGATCACTCATATTACTACGAATCGTTAATCGATCGTCAATGTCAAATGGTGAATAAATACTAACGTTTAAACAGAGAGATCACTTCATCTATTTATATAGCAATGACTCACTTTTTTTCTCGAGTTTTTTGCTACTCAAAGTGTTTATGTTTTTTGTTGGCGTCGAGGACGAACTTCAGCCAGTTTCTATCGAAAATGCTGTTATGAAGAACCAAAAAAATTCAATAAAAAACGTTGAAAACAACCGAACGAACGAAAAAAAAACGACAACGTATTTTATTGTGGCGTTATTCTTTCGCAACTTTCTCTTGCTTTCGTCTGCACAATTATAGTAGTGTCAACATGTCGGGTGTATTAGTCATCGAATGAGTTCTGAAAGGGCAACACAATTTACGTTATTTTTTATCGACTAATTTTAACAGCTTTCTTTTCTGTCTGTCTTGTGTTAGATTCCTGCTTTAAGCATGGAAGTTTGTTATGACAATATCTGAAAAAAGTGTATGTTGGATTTTTTTCAATGATGCATGCTATCGATTCTGTAGTAGTGGACGAAGAATAGTAAATTCAGTTTCGATTGAATAACACATAAATATAAGATGTGCCAAGCTTGTCGTACTGTACATCATATTAACTCTTTCAGGGCGGAATCTTTTTTCAATCGGCAAGTGTTGCTTCAATTAGTTTAATGTATTTGACTGAAAATGATTACATAAAAACTTTATGATTATACGTCAAGAAAACAGAGAGAGAGAATATGACTTCATTGTATAGTAGCAGAAAGAAAGAGAGACAAGATATGAATAGATGGCAGGTGATGCGACTTATTACTTTACAAATCATAACAGTTTAAGATAAAGCAAACATTTTTTCTACTGAAAAACAGGTGAGACAACATATGTTCCACCGTCCTCAAAGGGTTAAACTAGAAAAGTTTCAAATGAGATAATTCGAACAAGTGAATATTACTTTACCATACATTTATAAAGCTTTTTCAATGATCAGAAAGATGATCAATTGTCAATTTGAATGGAAATCCTTCAACGATTTATTCCAGTAGAACAAATATTGATGTCCATACTGAAAAATAAATAAAAAGGTTTATTTTTGTTTTGTTTTGTTTTATAAGGATTTACAATCGTTATTCCAAGTGACCAAACATCAGATTGAGCATCATGACCATCATGTCTTGCGCTGATGGGATCAATACGTTCACGCTAAAATATATATAAAATTGTTGAAAAAAACTAAGATTCTTTTTTACTGATAATTATAGAAAGGAGTTGTAATCAGGTTTTTGAGCCGAGAGATCAACTATTTGATAACTAATTCCGAAATCACAAAGTTTAATTGCTATTCTTGAAACCAAAATATGCGAAGATTGTATATGTCGATTAATCATGTCTCAACGAGAGTTCAGATAATCAAGTACTTGTAAAGTCTATTGAAAGATTCCAATTTAATTACATACTTTTTTAGAAAAAAAGCTTAACAGCAGGTCTTGTATATGCAAGAATATTTTCTGGAATAAATTGATCAAGTTTATGATAAACAAACTCATAAAAATGATTGAATGAGGTATCCATTAATTCCATACATATCCAATAGGACAATATCTAATTGATTGAGTATTTATTTTTTAAAACGTTCATCACCAACTGAAGGAACACTCTAAATGCAATTGAGCAAAACAATCATGCAAATAAATATTATTCATTACTTTAACAGCCATTATAGTTCGACTTTTTTCATGTTCCATTTTACGGACAATACCAAATCTTTCTTCTCCAATTACACCGTGATCGATTAAATCATCCGGTGTAAATTCATATAACTAATTATGAGCAATGTAAATACAAATAAATGAATTTAGAAATACAAAACAAACTTTTGTATCTGATAAATGAAGCTGGTCACTGTTAAGACAGCAATTTTTGGAAGATGAACTTAGATGACTACAATCAAATAGCTAGGATATTTTAGGTTATATATTTCCGTTCATTATGAACGATTATTTTGTGTTAATCACAATGATAAATTTGTGATAATACCAATTTCATAGGAAGTGTTTAGGGCTTTTCTGTTCATGATCTGGAAGAGTCAGATCTATTTCAGGTTATATTATACATTTTATTATTCGTTTCAACGTAAAAAAAAGGATATTGACAAGTAAATTGTCGAGTTCATTTCGAATAAGAAATGCATTAAATGCATATATCAACAGGACTGACTTTTTTTAATAGTGACTTAAAAAATTTTAGTTGTACCTTCGCTTTTATTTAGTTCAATATCAAAGAAGTGGAAGCTTCAATGACTAGTCAACCAAAACGATGATTTATGTAAAAAATATCATTTCTTTTGCGATTTTTTTCTCATGTGCCATGATAACTTTTTGAAAAAAATTTTAGGTAATAGAATTAGTACCTTCAGTATTGGAATGTTATTTTTCTTCGCTAGTCATTGATTTCAAATAAAAAATTAGCAATTTTAATTTAAATCGATTATTTGTTGGCTTGTTCACTACAAAAAAAAAAGAAATTGAAAATTTTTTATTTTAGAGAAACATACTTTCTTCTTACTGTTTAAACAAATGATTAAATTGCAAGCAAGAGAAAACCTACATATCGAACAAGAAAAAATATGACTCACTATTGAGGTGCTGATGTCATATGCTCATGCAAAAAAATGTAAACAAATTTCACAGAGTTATTGATTGATCTTTTAAAATGAGATCTCATCTTCACTAGAAAACCAATGCGAATGCATATGTTTTCTTTACTCACACTCACACCTCAAACAATGTGTAAAATACGTCATTCTGTACTTCCTCATGGATTTGTTATGTGCAAGCGAAAATAGTTACTCATATGTACTTTGTGCAAATACAACGTCTTTCCGCAAAACAGAACAAAAAAGTATAAACATCAATATACTTTTCTTTTTTGTCTACGAAGGACTCATGTGATACAATCAATTCATTTTACTGTTGTAGAACGATAAACAGAAGGCTAATCGTGTTCATTTTGATCTTCCGAAATGAAAGAAAATGTTGACGAGGTGGAATACGACTGCCATACTTGAAGTTTGAAATTTGTTATTCAGTAATCATATGCAAGTGCTCTTTTGAAGATTAACAAACGAAAGCGATATTATTACGTAGTAGGGTTGATTTAACTCAGCGTCTGATTTTGACAGTTGAACAACCAATCATACTACATGGATCCATTTAATCACAATACTTTCTAGAAAAAGATCTCCTTTATTTATTTTTGTGTCTGATGCATTTGAGCCTCTAAAGCCGTTTTGATTCTAGTGGCTACAAAATAAATATATTAACGACGCACACATGTTTTTGCAAGGTCGTCTTGAGGAAACTGCTAATTTCAACCAAAGCATTGTAAACTTCTACAAAATGGTCTTTAGAAGAAGAACACAGTCAACAGAGAACGTAGTGAAAGGAAATACATGAATCATTAATATTTGTCATGACTGTTACAATGCAGTAATAAAAACACTAGAAGCATTTCGTGCAAAGAGAAAGCAAAGAATCGAAAAAACAGAAAGACAGTGACTGTTTTTTTTTGGATATGATTCAGCAATTAGCTTATAACAATGTAAGAACAAGTAGCCACGATCGAATTGGCTTTAATAGTAGCTTAAAATAGATTCAATACCTGTAGGGTTTTTAGAAGAGGAAGTAATTATGTGCAGTTAAGCCTTGAAAAGAGAGCGAAAGAGTACAAAGAGAGAATCGATAATGCATATTTAAAGGAAAGTTCTACCAGCAGATTTTTTATTTTCTATCAATTCTTCAATCAAGAATGACGCAGTCAACCGTTCTATTTCTGCTATTCTTCTTCTCAACTTTTCTAATGTTTTACACTAGTTAGTGACATTTTACATCGATGATTTAGTGTATCAATTTTCTAGGCAAGTTATCAGAAAGCAGTTTTACCGATATAGAAAATCCAAAGAGATAATTATTGAAAATAATAGGGCCTATAAGTTCAAATGCATTGGCAGAGAGACACTAACGAGACAGTCTAAGAAAAAATGACGGAAATCGCGAGACTATTATTCAGGTCAGCTCTGCAGTCAGACAATACGGTTGCGTAAGGGCAACACTATAGCAGGCGACAATGGACCAGGGAATAGTGCAAATCAACTTGGATCTCCATTCTCTTTAGTCATGAATCACGATTCGAATTTGTTTGTGGCTGACATGTACAATAATCGAGTACAAATGTTAAACTTTCCATGTGCCGATTCTTCTGTTTAACAATTTTCTGACACACTATCTTCTTTTTTTGTTGCTCCTTCTTAAGACTTTAAAAATAATCCTTAGGATTGTGAAAAATGTAAATCGAGCGGATTTTGTTGTAAACAGATGTCATCTCTTTTATTGATCAGAATGTTATACAATTTAATGGTAGGTCAGCAACAAGGTATTAGACACTAATAGGAGAGACTTGTTCTTGTTATCTTTTTCCAGTTCACTATCAAACTGTGTAACAATAGAAAAGAAAAAAAAGGTGCTTCTCTGTAAGTACATTTCAACTTGATCAATAGTCTGAAGACGGAAGTATCACAGTCGCATTCAAACGAAGATGAAAAGGAAAAGACAATATACGTTGCATGAGAGATTAAAATTCAAAAAAGTTGATACGTACTTCAAATTCAAGACATGTTACTTTACATAAAAGGAAATCATGTGCGTCATCGAAACTCAGAGACTTGAAAAATTATATGAATTGATGTACTAAGACTTGGGTTTGGGTATGAAAATGAGATGAAACAAATAGGAATATCCACACGTATACCCACATCTCCTTATGTATAATTATAAACTGATGTACGTATTGATCGATCGAAACTTAGCTCATTTTGTATTTCGAGTCATTTCATTGCTTCACATAGCTCTAAATAAATGTCATCTGATCGACTCGCTGCATCGATTCTTGGCTACTTCATTTTAAAAAAGCAAAGAATGATACAGCTCTACCTTCGATAGAA